GGCAGGCAGAGGTAAGCAACAAACACCCACAATTTGTATGGACCTTCACCAACTCTAAGATCGAAGGAAGTTTGATTCTCATTAACTCAAATCTAGGGTAGAATCTTGAGTCTCTGTAATGCTAGGAGCGACTGATTTTTCTCAGACAATTCCCAGCTTTCTGAGAATTAAGAGAATGGCATTTCAATTCTCTTTATTATACCTCACAGCTCAGCATTCGCAGATTCCCACATAACCTCTATCCAGCATTATATTGAAAGTCCTAGCCAAAAAATTAAGGAAACAAAAAGTAAAAAGACACAGAGAAAATGAAAAAGTAAAACTATATTTACAGATGAGACAACTGTGTGTATAGAGTCTATAAATTATTAGAATAAGAAAATTTAGGCCATGCAAAATCCCAGTACTTGGGAGGCTGAGACAGGAGGATCATGAGTTTGAAGCCAGCTTGGGATAGTTAGTGAGACTCTCTCTCAAAAACAGAGAAATCACAACGCATTTATTCTAACAGCAAAAAAATAATAACCAGGTGCCAGTAGTTCACACCTGTAATCCTAGCTACTGAGGAGGCTAAGATCTGAAGATTGTGGTTGGAAGCCAGCCTGGGCAGGAATGTCTGTAAAACTCTTATCTCCAATTAACCACCAGAAAACGGTGGTACTGTGGCTCAAAGTGGTAGAGTGCTAGCCCTGACCAGTGAGGGGAGGGGGGAGGGTGACAACTAAAAGACAGTACCCAGGCCCTGAGTTCAAGCCACAAAACTGACAAAAATAAATAAAATAAAAGTATAAATTCAACAATGTGGGGAAAACTGTATAGATAATATTATAAAACTTTATTGAGAACCATGTAACCTATAACTCTAGTGTTTGGCCTACAAGCCTGTCTGGACAATCTCAAAAACAAAACAAAACTTTATGAAATACTTCTTCAAAATACTTAGACATATAGCATGTTCTTGGATAGGAAGACTTGCTATCATGAAGATTTAATTCAATATCACTAGAATCTCATCAAGAGCTGGTTGCCAGTGGCTCACACCTGTAATCTTAGCTACTCAGGAGGCTGAGATGTAAGGATCATGATTCAAAGCCAGCCCAGGTAGGAAAGTGTGAGATTCTTATCTTCAATAAACTACAGAAAGAGCCAGAAGTGGAGCTATGGCTTAAGTGGTGGAGCACTAGCCTTGAGTACAATGACTCAGGGACAACCCCCAGGCCCAGAATTCAAGCCCCAGGACTGGCAAAAATAAAAAAAGGAGAAAAAGTCTCATCAAGATCTTTTGAGGCGGGGCTGGGAAGGTGGCTCAGTGGTAGAGCGCTTGTCTTGCATGCCTGAGGCCCTTTGTTCGATTCCTTAGCACCACATAAGCAAAAAGAAAAAAAGCCGGAAGTGGTGCTGTGGCTCAAGTGGTAGAGCGTTAGCCTGGAACTGAAGAGTTGAACAACAGGCCCAGGCCCAGAGTGCAGGCCCCACAACCGGACCAAAAAAAAAAAAAAAAGTCGATCTTTTGAGGAATTTGACAAGCTGTTTCTAAAATTTATAACAAAGGCCAATAGGCAAAAGAGAACTTGTCCAAACAGATACTAATTGTGAAGTTATAGGAACTCATAAAGCTGGAAAAACTACTAATGAAACAGAAAAGTGCCACACACACATACACACACACATATATATGGAAATAATATTCAACAAAGATAAGTGGTAATAAAGCTATGGAAAAGGATGCATCAGGCTTGGAGTGGCATAACAAATCTGAGGGTCAAAATAGATTATGGGAATATTAGTTATCAATATAGATAAAAATAAAATTAATCACTATCTCACATCAAACCCCAAGTGCAAGTTCTGAGAGATTAAATATGGAAAGCAAAACTGAATAATTTTTAGAAGAAAATACAGGATGTTATGTGCATTATCTGAGAGTATGGATGGATTTCTTAAGTCACAAAAAACATTAACCATAAAAGAAGAGATTAATAAATTCAACTATGTTTAAATTAAGACCTTCTGTTCATCAAAGACACCATTAAGAAAATTAAAGAAAGAAGCCACAAACTGAGAGATCTGCAACATGTAACTCATTAGTATGTAGAATACATCAAGAACTCTTAATTCTAATTGAACACATGTGCATTTGACTCTCCTGAAACCTCTCTAAAACTAGAGTAATAGATATTTAAGTCATAAACCACAAGGATGTTGAAAAAAAAAGGATGATGGCAAGGAAGTTTTGGAAGCTGGAAAGTATGCTAAGTAGTACTGATTTAGCAGATCTGAGAAAGCTGAATCTCAAGCCAGCAATGGGAGCATGGAGACATAATTCAACTCAAAACTGCAGAATTTCCAAAACGCTCAGGAATAAATAATCCTAGGCTTCTCTGGAACTGAAGATGGTTCAGAACTAAGGCTAAAGTAAGGATTATTTGAAAGCCATTTAAGCAGTTAAACCTATGAATCCCTTTTTCTAAGTTTGTGCCAGAGGGTAACTACCTACCTCTGTTTCTGCTAAAGTCACAAGGCTTATTTGTTGGCAAGATCTCAGGACTGGGGATAAAAACTGAGGGTGGAACACCATAATAACAACAGGTGAACTAGCAAGGCACTGATGGTTCATGCCTGTAATACTAGCTAAGGAGGTTGAGATCCGAGGATCTGAGTTCAAAGCCAGCTGAGGCAGAAAAGTCCCTGAGAGACTCAGCTCCAATTAGCCACTCAAAAGCCAAAAATGGAGCAGTGACTCAAAGTGGTAGAATGCTACCCTTGAGCAAAAGAGTTCAGGGGCAGTGCTCCAGCCCTGAGTTCCATACCTACAACCAACAAACAGAACAAGTGAACCTCCATAGGCTGAATTATAACATGCTCCCTCCCCCAATATTCCTGCTCCATACAGGTTCCGAGAACATTGGCAACTAAGTTATTACCCTCAGACCAAAGAATAAAGGAATCCTTTCTGAAGAATCTGATCAACCCAAGAGGAATGACACACAGATATTATTAGCATTTGTAATCATCATCATCATCATCATCCAACCAGATCATTCCACAGTTGACAAAACCCACTCACAGTTTAGAAGCCTTAGCTAAGTTAGACTCCTATTCACGAACATGAAAAAGATTTCAGACATCTGAGGAAAGGCTCCAACAAAAAAAAAAAATTAATAGTCTATGAGTTCTGCGTGACTGTTCTATGTGTGGGTGGGTATGTTTTAGTATGTATATATTGACACATCTGTATGTGTGTAAGTGGATACATTGTGTGTGTGTGTGTGTGTAAAGCTCAGAAAGCCACTAAGGCATGGGATCCTTGGATCCACATCATCCATTCTCATTTATGTTGGAGTGTAACTGTGCCATATTTGTCCACAGAACTTGGCCCAAAAGCCCTTGAGCTGAGGGGGTTTCAGGGTGTTTGTATCCCTAAGGGCCAGGTCTGATCTTAGCTCTGGCTATAAGAAGCCTCTCTCTTTAATATCATAAAGGGCATGTGTGGATGGTTCAGTGGCATTTTCAGACCCACTGCGTATAAACACCTGTAAACATACACCTTGCTTGGCATTCTGCCCTCATCTGGAGACAAAGTGGCCCCAAGGGAGGCCTTGATCTGAATTTCTACATATCTAGCTGAACAAAGAGTGATGAGATAAGATGAACTTCAAAAAGCAGAGGGACCCAGGGCTTGGATCAGGAAGAGGAAAAAAAGGTGGTTAGATGAGGAGCAGAGCAAAGTGAAGATCAAAGTCAAAGATAATATTGTTGCATGATCAGAGCCATAAGCAGAATCAGGATCGAGTCCAAGACAAAGAATTGAACCTTAAAGTAGGTCCCCCCATCAGCTCCATTTTTCAGCTCCAGATTCCACCCTACTTAAGAAGCTTGCATTAGGCAGCTAGCAGCCAGGATAGCCAACCTTTCCTGAGGCTCCAGTTGTGCCAGGGGCCTACTGACCCTGTGGGAGGAAACTGGGGGCCTACGGGAGGCCCTGATCTCTGACAGAATATAGTCTACAAGAAAGAGAAGAGTTTAAGAAAAAATAATATTATGTCATTTTCAGGGAAATGGATGGACCAAGAACAAATCATAGTTAAGTGAGGGAAGCCAAGCTCAGAGAGACAAACAGTACATGTTTTTTCTCATATGCCAAAGCTAGATCTAAAAATGGGATGTGATAAATTATACAGGACTCTAGGCATCCACATCCAGAGAGAGCAAAGGAATATTCTCTTAAGGGAAGAACACAAAAGCACAATGCCTTTGTGCCTCTGATCATATAAAATAATGAAGTTTTTGTTGTTGTTTTTCTTTTCTTTTTGTCTTGTTCTTTTATGTCTTTAGGAGGATAAGGGGGAACAGAAATAGAGGGATAAAGAATGAACAAGTGCAGCAGTGGTACTAACTAGACACTATGTTGAAGATGAACTATACAACTTGTGAGTGGGGATGGGAGAAAAAACTGGAAGAGAGTGAGGGAAGGGGTGGTATTGTCCAAAAAAAAAATGTACTCTCTACCTGACTTAGGTAACTGTAACCCCTCTGTATACCACCTTTATAATACCCCTCCGTACAACACCTTTATAGTAACAACAAAGGAAGGAAGGAATAAAAGGGAAATAAAAGAAAGGAAAGAAGGGAAGAAAGGAAGAGAGAAAGAAAGAAGAAAAAGAAAAAGAAAGAAAAGAAGGAAAAAATGGTGGGAGAAACACTTAGCTCTGACCTTTAAGAGCTCCATACGAGTCAGGAAACATCAAAAAATAGATCATAAAACACTATGATTAGAGCAAGAGCTTGACTCCAAACCCCAGTTTGGAATAAAAAGGGGGGGTCAGGGGGCAAAATGTGATCCAACCAAGAGGACCATGTAGAAGAATGAAGACTGGCATGAAAATCCACCCTCTGCCATTGGGAGAGAGGTAAAAAAAAATATCCACCCAAGTTGATTTCAGGAGGGACTGAATCTAGGGGCCTCTACATGCCTAGCCAATTCTTTTTTCTTTTCACAGGGTCTAACTCATGCCGCACAGCGCTATATGGATCCTGATACTCTGCAGATGAACAAATGCGCTACACACACATCAGGCCATCCATACTGTCCTGAGAAGTACTGGAGCCCTCAACATGAAGGTAGGGCCTCTGTTACCTCCTGACTCCAGCAGTGACCCCACCAATGACTTATAACTTGAACCCAATTAGATCCTGACCTGATCTACCAACCTATCTCTATCCATGAGATAAAACAGACCTTTTTTCTAACCAATCTCCGCTTCAACATGATTACTAACCACCTGTCTTGACCCTGACCCTGGAGGAGACCACCTAGGCTCAGACTTTTGTGATCTCCCTGTCTGAAAATAGAATTGGAAAATAACCAGGCACAGCATGCCCCTGTAGTCCCAGCTACTTGGGAGGTTGAGATAGGAGGATCGCTTGAACCTAGGAGTAAAGACCAGCTTAGGCAACATAGCCAGACTCTGTCTCAAAACAATAACTCAACCCGGGAAGAACCATGGCTTTCATCACTATTAAAGATGGAGAGAATATTAATCTTCCCAAAATCCTCCAACCATATTCCAAGAGTCACCTCCTCCCCATCTTCTTAGCAATCCTGTTCAGTTCTCCATCTCGCCTGCCACATGATACCTCTTTCCCTTTCCCTGGAACATTTCCTAACGTCTGCCTAAAACCTCTCATCTCCTTCACAGTCAAGATTCCCAGAAACACAGTCTATACTCATTATCTCAACTTCCTCATTCCTTCATACACACACACACACACACACACACACACACACACACACACACCACACACACACACACACACACACACACACACACACACACACACACACACACACACACACACACACACACACACACACACACACCAGTCTTGAGGAAGAGAGGTTAGGCTTAGTGGTAGAGCACTTACCTAGCCAGCTCTAGGCCCTGAATTCAAACCAAATAGCACCACAAAAAAAAAAGGTGGTTGGGCTGGGAAGGTGGCTCAGTAGTAGAGCGCTTGCCTTGCATGCATGAGGCCCTGGGTTCGATTCCTCAGCATCACATAAGCAAAAAAGAAAAAAGCCGGAAGTGGCGCTGTGACTCAAGTGGTAGAGCGCTAGCCTTGAGCTGAAGAGCTGAGGGACAGCACCCAGGCCCAGAGATCAGGCCCCACAACTGAACCCAAAAAAAAAAAAAGGTGGTTGGGGATTTAGTTCAGTGGAAGAGCACTTGCCTAGCAAGTGCAAGACCCTGACTCTGGTCCTCAGCTCTGAAAAAACAAAACAAAAAAAAAAAACTAAAACAAAACCATAGTCTTCTCTTATTTACAACTGGGCCCCTCCATCAAGGGACTTCGTAAATCTTTGTTGGATGAAGTGATAATTCCCAACATAAGTTGGCGTCTGCACTTCCTACACAGAATACTGAAATTACATCTGTGTGGTTCTGATTACCATATCCATGAGACCTTTTAGTCTTTACTATCTGAGACTTTCCCTATGCATTTCACTCCTCTGACTACTCCATTCTACTTAAAACTACTTCCTTCCTCAGCTTCTCTGATGCCTCACTTTTTCTAAGTCTCTTATATACTTACTTTGGACACAAAGTTTTTCAGAATACTATTCAGAGCTTTCTTTCCTCCTTGCTCTGTCCCCAAAACTATTTTACCTACCCCATCCCTAACTCTAAATACTGTAGCCTTGATGTCTCACCAGACTTTACTCTCCTTCATCATCTGAGTATGGTGATCTCTACCTGGATGTGAAAAATAAACCTCAAACACAGTATGCCAAATCAGCCAACTCAGAATTTCAAACCCCAACGTGGTCCCTCTTCCCCACACCCACCTGTCTTCTTCTTGGCCTTTTTACCCTGTTTCTCACATGAATTACAGAGGATCTCATAGGACAGTCTTGTGGCAGGGATGGTGTTGAAGAATGTTAACTAGAGTTAGTTAACATTGATCAACTTTTCATTTGTGAAAAAGCACCACAGTTTCTACTGTGATGTAAAATTTCAAAGATAAGGCAAGAAGACCAATAGGCTTTTTAATCATGACAAGTATTCTAATTTTTTAAACAATGTATTAACTTATTTAAGCCTCACAACAACCCTATGTTAGGCAAGTGCTCCCTGATCCACAACAAACCTGAGAGTTATCACCCTAATTTTACAGTTGGGTAAACTGAGACAAGATTAACTTGGTCAAGGTCTCACAAAGCTAATTATTGGTAGAACAGAAATTTGAAACCAGGCAATCTATCTGCAGATTTTGCTCTGTTAACCATGACATTATCTTGTCTCCTGGTGATGATACAGAGAAGATGAGGCAGATCATGGAGGGCTGGGAGAGGGAATGGATTCAATGGATTCAAAGAGTTTTAAGAAGGAAGAAAGGCAAACCTTAGAGTCTGGATATAGAAGATGAGGGAGACAGAAAAATTGGCAGGAAACCCCATTTTCAAATTAATTGATTCAGAATATAGATCTAGGATAAAAATTGATTAGCTCAGTAAGATAGGACCTGGGCTACAACTGTCAGAAACAAAGTATGGTAGGCCATAATCCTGGCACTAAAAAGGCTGTGGCAGAAAAGAAAGTTCAAGTCCAACCTAGGCTACCTATCAAGACCCATCTAGAAAGAAAAGGAAGGAAGGAAGGAAGAGAAAAAGGAAGGGAGGGAGGGAGGGAGGGAGGGAGGGA